ACCACTGTATGTTGCAGAGACCGCTAACTTTGCGGGAGCGTAATTCCGTGAGTTTTCGACCAAATTTTGTACTTTTGGTGTCATTGCCATCGAGAAAAGGATTCTTTATCATTTCATAAGAAAATTTTTTTTGTTTTTTTTCCAAAAATTTTGCGACATAGACTGACAGTTTCAGAAAGGGGCTTGCGACAGTCAAAGGGTTAAACGGTCGGAACGTATATATATGTTCACGCGCACAGCACCCCAAATGTTTTGAAAAAAAAAAAAAAATTGATAGAAAAAATGAGCACATTTTTTTTAAGTGTTTTAGAATAAAAAATTAGGGTCAGTACTTACTGAGATATGAGGCTGAGAAGTTGGCACTGGATGCTCATGTGACGCCAACATCGAGTCCTTCCATTTGCAGAAGTGTTGTCTATATACCTTTTTTTTCTATTTTTCATATTATTTTATATAATTTTTATGTTCAGATAATTACAATTTATAGTAGTTCTTGTCATTTCATAACCATTCTTTGTTCTGATACTAGTATTAGGTACTGAAATTATGCTCAAATTGTCACAAACACATTGACAGGTGGACATTTACACCTGCCTTGGTCATTTACTATTTTCTTGGAATATATACAAAGTATTTATATGTCCCAATAATGTTTTTGATATGTGGAAGTATATAATAATGAGGAGGAGGGGGAGAAGGAGGAGGAGGAAGAGGAGGAGGAGGAAGAGGAGGAGGAGGAGGAGGAGGAGAAGGAAGAAGAGGAGGAGGAGGAGGAGGAGGAAGAGATGGAGGAGGAGGAGGAGGAAGAGATGGAGGAGGAGGAGGAGGAGGAGGAAGAGAAGGAGGAGGAGGAAGAGATGGAGGAGGAGGAGGATGAGGAGAAGAAGAAGAATACGTAATATAATAATAGGTAATAATAAGTTCCCTTGAAGCATGAAAAACTAAGTCCACCCCTGACAGTGACATGATAAGATGAGATAACATCTGATAAGAGCTGACGTTTGATGAGCATACGCGAGGGTGCAGCAGATAAGAAAAGATTAGTGGAGAGTGGTGAGAGAGTGCAAAAGGAGAGCAGATGATAGAGTGGGAGAGGCACTGTCAAGAAATTTTAATGAAAATAAGAAAAAATTTTGGAGTGAGTTAAACAAGTTAAGAAAGCCTAGGGAAAATATGGATTTGTCAGTTAAAAACAGAGTAGGGGAGTTAGTAGATGGGGAGATGGAGGTATTGGGTAGATGGCGAGAATATTTTGAGGAACTTTTAAATGTTAAGGAAGAAACAGAGGCAGTAATTTCATGCACTGGTCAGGAGGTATACCATCTTTTAGGAGTGAAGGAGAGCAGAATGTAAGTGTGGGGGAGGTACGTGAGGCATTACGTAAAATGAAAGGGGGTAAAGCAGCTGGAACTGATGGGATCATGACAGAAATGTTAAAAGCAGGGGGGGATATAGTGTTGGAGTGGTTGGTACTTTTGTTTAATAAATGTATGAAAGAGGGGAAGGTACCTAGGGATTGGCAGAGAGCATGTATAATCCCTTTATATAAAGGGAAGGGGACAAAAGAGACTGTAAAAAATTATAGAGGAATAAGCTTACTGAGTATACCAGGAAAAGTGTACGGTAGGGTTATAATTGAAAGAATTAGAGGTAAGACAGAATGTAGGATTGCGGATGAGCAAGGAGGTTTTAGAGTGGGTAGGGGATGTGTAGATCAGGTGTTTACATTGAAGCATATATGTGAACAGTATTTAGATAAAGATAGGGAAGTTTTTATTGCATTTATGGATTTAGAAAAGGCATATGATAGAGTGGATAGAGGAGCAATGTGGCAGATGTTGCAAGTATATGGAATAGGTGGTAAGTTATTAAATGCTGTAAAGAGTTTTATGAGGATAGTGAGGCTCATGGTTAGGTGTGTAGAAGAGAGGGAGACTACTTCCCGGTAAAAAGTAGGTCTTAGACAGGGATGTGTAATGTCACCATGGTTGTTTAATATATTTATAGATGGGGTTGTTAAGGAAGTAAATGCTAGGGTGTTTGGGAGAGGGGGGGATTAAATTATGGGGAATCAAATTCAAAATGGGAATTGACACAGTTACTTTTTGCTGATGATACTGTGCTTATGGAGATTCTAAAGAAAATTGCAAAGGTTAGTGGATGAGTTTGGGAATGGTGTGTAAAGGTAGAAAGTTGAAAGTGAACATAGAAAAGAGTAAGGTGATGAGGGTGTCAAATGATTTAGATAAAGAAAAATTGGATATCAAATTGGGGAGGAGGAGTATGGAAGAAGTGAATGTTTTCAGATACTTGGGAGTTGACGTGTCGGCGGATGGATTTATGAAGATGAGGTTAATCATAGAATTGATGAGGGAAAAAAGGTGAGTGGTGCGTTGAGGTATATGTGGAGTCAAAAAACGTTTTAATCTATGGAGGCAAAGAAGGGAATGTATGAAAGTATAGTAGTACCAAACACTCTTATATGGGTGTGAAGCTTGGGTGGTAAAGCAGCACGAGGAGACGTTAGGAGCAGTGGAGATGTCCTGTTTAAGGGCAATGTGTGGTGTAAATATTATGCAGAAAAATTCGGAGTGTGGTAAATTAGGAGAAGGGTGGAGTTAATAAAAGTATTAGTCAGAGGGCAGAAGAGGGGTTGTTGAGGTGGTTTGGTCATTTAGAGAGAATGGATCAAAGTAGAATGACATGGAAAGCATATAAATCTATAGGGGAAGGAAGGAGGGGTAGGGTCGTCCTCGAAAGGGTTGGAGAGAGGGTAAAGGAGGTTTTGTGGGTTAAGGGGCTTGGACTTCCAGCAAGCGTGCGTGAGCGTGTTAGATAGGAGTGAATGGAGACGAATGGTACTTGGACCTGACGATCTGTTGGAGTGTGAGCAGGGTAATATTTAGTGAAGGGATTCAGGGAAACCCGGGTTTTTTTCATATAGTCGACTTGAGTCCTGGAAATGGGAAGTACAATGCCTGCACTTTAAAGGAGGGGGTTTTGGGATATTGGCAGTTTGGAGGAATATGTTGTGTATCTTTATATGTGTATGCTTCTAGACTGTTGTATTCTGAGCACCTCTGCAAAAACAGTGATAATGTGCGAGTGTGGTGAAAGTGTTGAATGATGATGAAAGTATTTTCTTTTTGGGGATTTTCTTTCTTTTTTTTGGGTCACCCTGCCTCGGTGGGAGACGGCCGACTTGTTGAAAAAAAAAAAAAAAAAAAAAAAAAATTTGATGAGCATCGCCCTCGCTTTGTTTTCGCTGGTACACAAACATGTCTGTCTGTCAAGCTCCCTGTCTATCTGTCTCTCTGTCTACCTCTGCCTCAGAGAGAGCCACAAGACTGCATCATCACGTTTACTCACATCTTCAAGCAGAGTATAGCACTGTGTCTGGACTTTTTGGGTTATCCTAGGTAATTTACACTATGTATACTTGTATTTATGTGTACCTGTGAGACAGAGATAGACACAGAGACAGATTGAAAGAGATAGACAGAGACAGATTGAAAGAGATAGACAAAGACAGATACAGAGACAGATAGACAGAGGTAGTCAGAGACAGAGATAGACAGAGAATCAGAAATACAGAGATAGAGATTGACAGACTCTAAACTTGGGGTTAACATCACTTTTCTCTTAACCCTTAAACTGTCCAAATGTAGATCTACATTTTTTCAACATTTGAAAGTATGTAAAAAAACATAGACCTTCCTTTTTTTTTTTTTTACATTTGAAAACGTGTAAAAAAACTTTGATCTACTTTTTTTTTATATATTTGAAAATATGTAAAAAAGCATAGATCTACTTTTGGAGCACTATGCATGTGAACGTACATCTGTTTGGACAGTTTAAGGGTTAAAAGAGGAGTGTTAATATGACATTGCTTCAGTGAATCCTTGGTGTTTCCCGCACTGTTTGCTCTAGCTGGCACTCATTTTAACTGGCGCTCCCTTAAGGTACTAAGTGGTCCCAGATTTTTTTAATATGGTGCACACCGAGTGTTAAGACGCATTCTTTGCTAACCAGGCATCTCAGGGCAATTGAAGTAATATTTCCCATATGAAATAAGGTACATCCAATTAATCCATTCCACACACTAAAAAATATTAACAAAAATACATACATAAAACAATGAGAAATAAATATAAATGACTAATGAAATGGGTAAATGAACATTTAACATCACACATACACCACTTTCGTATTTTTCTACGAGTTCTTTCTTGAATTCTATCATGTTCACACCTTTCTCAACTTTCTTTGGCCCCAAGGTGGCTTATTTAGCAGTCACAATCACAAAAAACAATGGATTACTGTATTATGAAGTATTTTAGATGAATGCGCGGAGTAATGCTCACTAAACGAGTAACAAAAGCTGACTGAGATACAAACATAAGAGCGGCCACGTCCTGCGGGCAGGCGGACGCATCTGGTATGGATGATTTCCGAGCGGATGTACAAAAATGTGGAAAATTTCACTGAAAAAATGGTCGAAAACTAAATTGTACGATAACCAGACCAGATGAAAACTGGGGTTCCACTGTACATGTACAGTGTATTATGCATCTTGTTGCTTTTATGATTTTCTTAGTGTTGTTGTATAAATGTTTACAGTGTTAAACCAGACTGAGTTTCAACACCTGTCCTGGTGAATGGTAGTAATCTACAGTTCCTGAAGATTATGATGATGTTAAATTGCATGTGCTACTTACTTTTATTTGGCTGCATTAGAAACGTATGCCACATACAGTACTATTTCTTTTGCATGTATTAAGGCTTAGGGAAATGAAGTTGTAAGTTATGGAGGGATGACTTTCTCAGATCATGCAGCAACTGAAAACATCTAGATTTTCAAAGCCTTACATACTCTTAATATTGATTTTTTCATTTATAATTGGAGGTTTTAAGTATTTGAATTTCCTTGATTACCAATTATTTTAAGTGTATAAAGTTTTTGATTCTGTGGTATTCATTCATACATTTTCATTCCACAGATGTGAAGTCATGTGTATATGTGCCAAGTGTAGCAGACGGACTAACACTAGCATCTTATGTAATGGTTGCATTCCTTGGACTGCTGTCACTGCCTCTAGTACTAGCAGCATTAAGGTGGACATTGAGATCCGTCATTCAACCACGTTTGAACCGTGAGGTACCATTCCTTACCTTGGATGAAACAAACACTTGAATGTTCACTTGACACTGTGAATTAAGCCATAATTGCATAATCATGGAACTTGTTTCAGTGAGTATTCAACACACTTAAAGTATCAGGAACTGCCACTTATAGTGCTGACAAATGTTGACCTCAGGCTTGTATTCATAATTTATTGTGATTCTTGATGTATAAAAAGCTATAATTTTTTGGGTAGTTTTAGAACCTTTTATATTGTAAAAGTATGAATATTTACATTTTAACTTTTCTAATATTTTCATTATTTTTCTGTGATTAGAGCACAATAGGTGCCCACTTAAATTGTGTCATATAGTACCTCATTCATACCAGTATATATCTCTAAGCTCCAATGAGGTCCATCATACACATATTTCTCAGTATTAAGCCTCCTTTGCCACTCCCTGCATGATTGTGCTTGGGTCCTTCCTTAACTGGGACCCCAGCAAAGTTCTGAGACCCAGCCATCATCCACTCTGTTCATTAACCCTTTTAGGGTTGGGACCCCTGATCTAAAACTTGCTCTCATGGTAGGAGAATTTAAAAAAAAAAAATCTTATGAAATTATAGGATCTTTTTCCAAAGGTAATGAAATCAAAAGTATGAAATTTGATGGAAAAGTTACGGAATAATGCTTTCACAAAATTAGCGGTCTTTGCAATACTGTATTTCCGTATCGGTGATTTCGCCCACTTTGAGCCCTGTTTTCAGCCAATTCCATTGTTCCAGTTGAACAAACTCATATTTAATGATTTGAGTAGAGGAAACCACCTATTTACCTATTTCAGCTACCCAATTAAGTGATCAGAAATTGGTAATGGCCAATTTCTCACAAAATTAAAAAATTGCTAATTTAAAATAATTTAAAACAATATAGACATTCCTAGCAATAAAAAAACATTTCCTCTTTTCATTAGTTACCTCCCCAGACCTCTCCTATATTACACTTGCTTTCCATTTTGAGTTTTTATTCACACAAAAAATAGAAGATTTTCTGTTATGCAGATTACTGCATTATTGTAATAATTGTATAAATAATGTCAGTACATTTGTGGACATATATTAGACTGACCAGTTGGATGCATGTTGGACGAGTGACATAGTTTGTGCACTCTGAAATATTGGCAAAAATCAAACATTTCTGTTACTTTGAGCTCAATTTCAAGTTACTTTTAGTCCTGAAACCAATAAAACGTCTCTATTTCTGTAATATATCTTCCATTCTGTCAAATGAGACCAGGAAACTGAGTAAACAACATTAAAACCATACAAAAATACACTGAAAAGTCGCTGTTTTAAACCAAAAGCATGCTTGTAGTTACTTTTTTCTCATGCACTGTATGCTGCAGGATTTTTGTGGTGCACTTAGTGCAAAGACCTATTCTCTCATATCTAAGCCCAGATTTACTCCTCACAGCTTATTTGAGAGAGCTGAGCTCATCATGTAGAACTCCTCATGTAGAACTCATCATGTTGAACTCATCATGTAGAACTGACCTGGGCTTCAAAGCCGTAGTACAACAGGACCCACTTTGAAAAGGTTAAATACAATTAACTCTTCTTTATGGATAATTTCTTAGCTGGCTCTTCGTTATGCTTTGCCTCTAAGGGTGCCGAGGTTGTCTTGAAAATTTGTGGCAGTTCTCCTTGCTCTTCAGGCTAGCCACTTGCTCTGTTTAACCCTTTCGTTGTTGGTGTCATAGTACTATGGCTTACGAGCCAGTGTTGGTGCTGTAGTACTACACCAAAATTCTAGCGTCTTCAAATCTAGCGGGAGAAAGCTGGTAGGCCTACAAGTGAGAGAATGGGTCTGCATGGTCAGTGTGCGCAGTATAAAAAAAAAATCGGGGAGTCGGTGGTGCAGTGTAGGAACTCCATTTCAGTAATCCTTGTTCAGCATGCCTTGCAGTAAGAAATATCTGACTGCATGGTGGATCTGGGACTCTTCTCTTCCCAAGTGATAGCTCTAACATAGATGGAAGTGTCAGTGAAAATGAATTTCATGGTTTTGAGGAGTTTGTGACCGAAAGCAATGCCCAGGAAACCAGAAGGAAGGAAGAAGAAAAGAAAGAAAGGAAGGAAGGAAGAGATGAGAGGAGAGGAAGGTAGGAAGGAAGAATGACCCAGATGACCATCAACCTAGGAAAACCCAAAAAAGTCAAAGTGACTTATTTCCTTGTGGGTGGTGGGGAAGATGGCATGCTTGTTGTGGAAGACGGTGTGGGCAATGGGTGGTGGTGATTTTGTAATGCGTCATTGTGACACCAGCCACACCGCTCTCAGCACATCCATAACAAAGGCCACGCACACACAACAACCTTCCACAAGCTGTAGCAGTTCTAGGAACGTGTCCAGTGACTATGTATGTTTGTATATTCAGTGGACCCTCAACTAACGGTGACATCAAGTAACAGCAAATTTGTCTAACGGCACTCTTTGGCATAAAAAATGGCTCCACCAATGGCAAAAAACTCATCTAACGACGTTCATCCTAAACTTGTCCATGGGGCCGGAGCGCGGCCTGAGTGGGCCCAGTCACTCCACGACTCCATGTACAGCCAGTGTGCCAGTGTTTACAAGCTGTTTCAGGTCGATTCCAAGTGTACCTATGATATATTTTGTATTATTCCAGTGCTTTTAGTGCTTGTAACCGCTAAATTAGCCACCATGGGCCCAAAGAAAGTTTCTAGTGCCAGCCCTGTGATAAAGAAGGAAAGAAACAATAAAATTCAAGAAAAAACTCATAGCAAAGTACCAAAGTGGAGGAGGAAGAGAGAGGGGAGAATGTGCCTTCTGCAGTGATTCATTGATTGTACGATATGTACGATACTAGAGCAGCAGGTATCGATAAAGGCTATAGTGCCAGCCAGCGATAAAGTGTAGAATTAATAGTGTAGCAAGTAAGTTAAGCGAGTAAGCGATACAAAAACGACACGAAAGTAACTCTCCAATGTTGTTGGATGTGTGTACATCCGCTGAGCATACACCAGCCTGCTATCTTCCCCTACCCTAAACCTCTGCCAGCATCTCCTCCATTAAACTAACTAATTAAACTAACATCTCCAAGGTAAGTGTAAATATAAAAGTGTAGCATAAAAGTAAATATATTAAGTATAAATATAAAAGGACCCCAATAGAAATATGTAAGTCACTCTGACTTTTTTGGGTTATCCTAGGTACTTTACACATATGCTGCTATGTATGATAATCTATGTAACTGTATTTGTGTATACCTGAAAAAACTTACATATTTATAAATTAAAATGTAAATATTTCTTGTTTATAAATTAAAATGTAAATCTTTCTTATTTATAAATTAAAATGTAAATATTTCTTATATATAAATTAAAATGTAAATATTTCTTATTTATAAATGGGGAAATAAATGGGATTAAATCTGGAGTATCTGAGAGAGTTAGAGCAAAGGAAGGGGTAGCAGTAATGTTAAAGGATCAGTTATGGACGGAGAAAAGAGAATATGAATGTGTAAATTCAAGAATTATGTGGATTAAAGTAAAGGTTGGATGCGAGAAGTGGGTCATAATAAGCGTGTATGCACCTGGAGAAGAGAGGAATGCAGAGGAGAGAGAGAGATTTTGGGAGATGTTAAGTGAATGTATAGGAGCCTTTGAACCAAGTGAGAGAGTAATTGTGGTAGGGGACCTGAATGCTAAAGTAGGAGAAACTTTTAGAGAGGGTGTGGTAGGTAAGTTTGGGGTGCCAGGTGTAAATGATAATGGGAGCCTTTGATTGAACTTTGTATAGAAAGGGGTTTAGTTATAGGTAATACATATTTTAAGAAAAAGAGGATAAATAAGTATACACGATATGATGTAGGGCGAAATGACAGTAGTTTGTTGGATTATGTATTGGTAGATAAAAGACTGTTGAGTAGACTTCAGGATGTACATGTTTATAGAGGGGCCACAGATATATCAGATCACTTTCTAGTTGTAGCTACACTGAGAGTAAAAGGTAGATGGGATACAAGGAGAATAGAAGCATCAGGGAAGAGAGAGGTGAAGGTTTATAAACTAAAAGAGGAGGCAGTTAGGGTAAGATATAAACAGCTATTGGAGGATAGATGGGCTAATGAGAGCAATAGGCAATGGGGTCGAAGAGGTATGGGGTAGGTTTAAAAATTAGTGTTAGAGTGTTCAGCAGAAGTTTTGTGGTTACGGAAAGTGGGTCGGGAGGGAAGAGGAGCGATTGGTGGAATGATGATGTAAAGAGAGTAGTAAGGGAGAAAAGTTAGCATATGATGAAGTTTTTACAAAGTAGAGTGATGCAGGAGGGAAGAGTATATGGAGAAAAGAGATGAGGTTAAGAGAGTGGTTAATGCAATGTAAAAAGAGAGCAAAATGAGAGAGTGGGTGAGATGTTATCAACAAATTTTGTTGAAAATAAGAAAAAGTTTTGGAGTGGAATTAACAAGTTAAGAAAGCTAGAGAACAAATGGATTTGTCAGTTAAAAAATAGGAGGGAGAGTTTTAAATGGAGAGTTAGAGGATTGGGAAGATGGAGGGAATATTTTGAGGAATTTTTAAAAATTTTTGATGAAGTAAGGAACTGTGATTTTTTGTAAAAGGACAAGGGGGAAAAAATCTTGTGGGTGAGGAAGAGCCAGTTTGAGTGTGGGGGAAGTTGTGAGGCAGTAGTAAAATGAAAGGGGGTAAGGCAGCCCGGGTTGAGGGATAAAGATAGAAATTTTAAAAGCGGTGGGATATATTTTTTTTTGGAGGGGTTGGTGCAATTATTTAATAAAATGTATGGAAGGGGGTAAGGTCCCTAGGGATTGGGCAGAGAGCAGCATATTTTCCTTTTTTTAAAAAGGGAAAAGGGGGAAAAAAGAGATTTCAAAAATTTATGGGGGGATAAGTTGCTGAGTATCCCTGGTAAAGGTATGGGAGTTATATTGAAAGAAAAAAAGAAAGCGGATAATAGGAAGCAGAGAACAAGGACCCTTTAGGAAAGGTGGGGGGGTGTGGGACCGGGTGTTTACAGTGAAACATATAAAGTGAACTATTTAGAAAAGGGCTAAAGGCCCTTTTGGCTTTTAAATGGGGAAAAGGCATAGACAGGGTGGATAGGGGGGCAATGTGGAGATTTTTGCAAGTGTATGGTGTAGGAGGAGGTTACTGAAAGCGTAAAAGGTTTTTACAGGATATGGGGCTAAGTTAGAGTATGGGAA